TGAAGGAAAGGGAACATCTAGTTCTTGAAACACTTTATGTAAAATAGCCTGTTGGGTAGACAGAGTTTCTTTAAAAAGAACTTTTTTATAAAAGATAATGCTGAATGAAAGTGGTGGATATGAGCAGATCGGTATCCAAAAGTAAAGGAAATCTACTGAGACTAGTGTCACTCCTTTATAACAAGGTTTTGGCATTTGAGTGTTGCATTAGATTTCAGCAGTTTTGGACCCTTCACTGAGCTGGAGGAGATGGTAAATTTAGATACCAGGAAAGGTTAAAATATAAAGCAGGCACCTCAAGGATGTGGCAGCATACTTGATGTCTGACAACATTTAAAAATCTCTACAAATTTCCGGAATATGATAAAAATAACAACCATTTTGGCACAAATAAGTTGAAAATTTGAAACTGGCTCATTTCATTTCTCTCTTACTAATTTTGAAAGTTCAATTATTTGCTTATCTGTATTTGATGCTTTCAGATTTGACAAACATCGAGGCCTTTGCCTTATTTATGTAAGCACTTTCATGTCACATTGTCCCTATGCGTCTTTAAGTATATAACAGAAGAATCTCAGTTTCCTGCTTAATGCACTAAATTACAGGAAGGCTTTTCCAGTACTCTGTCTTGGCAATGTTGGTGGCAATTTACTGAGCTACAAAGCATTTTTCACAGCCTATTTGTCTGATACATTGAATTTTGGATCAATTTTACTGTAAGAAAAAAATGTTGTTTGAGAGTTTTAGTACCTTAGCATTTGCTCTGTTTACCTGAATTGACAGCTTTCCTCCTTGGGTTGGAAGAATCTATTTAGGTTGGCTTTAATAGCAAAATTTGTAATCACTTTGTGGGAGCTTAAACTGAAATCTCTACTTTATTTTCAGTCTGAAGTACAGCAGGCTTATTTGAAAAGAAACTGAGAAATACCAGCCTCAGAGTAGAACTGTTTTTAGAAGAACTTGTCAATGTCTAACTTCAGATTGTTTTCCTCTCCTGCTCCATTAATTTAAATTCATTTTAAATCCTAGTACTTCAAATCACAGACAGCAATTTTTTAATTTGAGTGCCATTGAATGTTAAATCTATTTTTTATTATTTTTAAGTACTTGAGAATTAATGGATTATCCGTAGGATACTGATCTTGCAAAGCAGTATGTCTTTAAGCAAAGTCAGCGCATATCAGTTGAAGTTTACAGTTACATCTGTTTTGGCTGTGTTATTTAATTACTTGTATCATTCAAACAGCAAGAAAATTAATGTACTTCTCAAAACATTAGTACAAGTAGCTTTGTTAGCATTAGACAAACTACACTAGGTTTATTTCCAATGAGCTTATTGATATTGGTGTCTGGGAAGACATGGGTTCCAGCCTGGGTCTTTCCCGCACTTCTGGAACTCACATCTTTGTTCCCCTTCGGAGCTAAGGAAGGTGAACTTGTAGTGCTGTGTTAACCTCAGGTGGGAAACTCTGGCAAATGGTTTCCTGAAGCTTTCAGGAACTTAATTACTTCTGAGACCCCTACCTTTTCATGAGGTTTGATTAAAATCAGCAAAAGGTGCCAAAACTTTCAGAGGACACATACAGGTGTCTACAAAGAATAATTGCATAAGCTTTACAAATTGTTCCTGCACCAACTGGCTGTTTTTCACTGATGCTTTTAACTTCCCTCATCAACTGCCCGCGTTTCATAAGGCATGTGATAACCAGGCAGGTTTACTGCTGCCATGCAGAATATATAATGCTTGAGTTCTCCCTGTCTTCCCTGCAACATGTCCCATCTACTCTGCCTCCAATTTTCCTGCAATTTGTTGCAACTTATTGAGCCCTCTACCTCTCTGTCAAATTTAGCTAATCCTGGTCGAGGTTTGGAAGCTTCTGGGCAAGCAGGCAAGATTTACAGAGGCAAGGTTTCTGTAATCTTACTATCTTTCTATAGAAATCTCACTAAGAAATCTATTCTAACAGACTCTCCTGTTGTAGTTAAATACAAGAATGTTCTTCATAGCATGATTGGTTGTAAGGCAGGAATTCTTTAATGTATGGCAATATTTTTTCTTTAACATTTGAATGCCAAATTGAGCTTAATCTTTTCCGTGTTAATCAGCATTTGAGACTATCTCCATCTTGTGATTTAATAAGTGTGCCAAAAAGCTTCCATTAATCCTGTTTCCCAAGGACCTCAGATATAACTTGGCAAGTCAGAAATAACAGAGTGAATCTGAGTTCTTCTAGGATTGAATTAATGGTATCTCATACAACAAAATCTGCAAAGGGAAGATATGGACAGTCTTAAGATGCAATAATCTTATATACTTCATGCTCATCTAAAAGTACATGGGATACATTGTGAGCTGGAATATTCTGAGATATGTGGAACACTTTCTTTTGAGGACTTTAACACTTTAAAGCAAGGAGCTAAAGCAAAGTAAAATTAAATGGGAAATTTGTTCTTTGCCTACCTTGCCCAAAAATCAAACCATTTGTATGCTATTTCATTTTGTGCTAACAAGTGACTCCTTCACAATGTACAATTCTTTGGAGTAATTTGAAGTTGACATCACAAGGTTTTTCATATTGAGAAGAAATTTAAATTCATGGTACTGGAAAGAAAGATTTAATTAAACCTAGTTTAGAAGTGGGGAAGTTCTGGGTTCAACAGCCTGGCTGACAAAGCATTGCGCTGTAAGCCATGAGTTTAAATAGCCTTAGACTGAGAAGGCCAGTTCTCTGTAGTCCAATGCAAATGTTGTAACCATTAGGACGTTCTGTAGAACAGCCTTGGATGTTTAATGTTTGAAATCTGTAGTTTGATGTCTAGCACACTTTTATTTTTTGACACAACCCAGTATCAATGCAAATCACTGATGGATTTCAGTATTAGTTGCATCAGACCTTTATTACTTGACATACTTAGTTCATTTGCATAAATCAGTGACCAAGCACAGAAAAGAGGGCTGATAGGGAACTGGAGATATCTTGTAGTTCATTTATCTGTTTCTTTCATCATAATGAAATCAATGAAAGTGACATATCACCAAATACCATGCTACTATCAAACCTTGAGAAGGGTTCGGTGTGGTTTTGTAGCATTGTAAGTTAAGGTCTGAAGTATATGCATGGGCATCTCCCCCTACCCCTATCAACGCCATGCTCTGCACTTCATGGGTTCTTGCTTGGGGGCTGAGTCCTGTCCTTGCAGAACTTAATTGCACAATGGAGCTTTTAACCCAGAGAGGGTGGTGAGACTTTATTCTTTGCCCTCCTCTTCCTAAGATATGAAATCCTCTTATCCCACCACAATCTCTGCTTTCAGCCATTCCCCTCCCTATACCCACGGTCCTCTACTGACTCTGTGTGTGGCATTTTTGGTTTGCTCTTGTGCTTTGCTAGTAAAAAGAAAAGCATTTCCAGATAGATGGTGGACACAACTTGTCTCTCGTTTGGTTCTCTCTCATTGATGTAGATAGCACAACCCCAGCACTTAGGGAAGAAAAGATTTTTGGAGAATCGGCAACAGTGAGTCCAGAGCATGTAAGTTGATCAGGACTGTGCAGGATGGCACTGAAGACACAGGAATAGCATTGTGGATAATGCAGCAGTATAAGTTCCTGATAATATTGATATGATTTAGTATTACTTATATTTAAAATCATGACATTATGGTAGTAGTAGTATTACATCCATTACTCTCTGATCCTACCTGATTCAAAGGCAGGGTCAACTACACATAAATCATTCTTGACAGAAACTCATCAACATGCCTAGGTAATCTTGTAAAGGTTTGCCACTAATTCTGCCTAGCAATTTACATTCCACAAGATTATTTTAAAGACTTAGGAGAATTTTTTTTTAATGGCTGACAATGATTTTAAGATTCTTTCTTTTGAAAATCTGTTCAGCTTTACAACATAAATATATTTTGGGTACATTGTAAATATTGTGTATTTTAAATACATCAGGCAAGACTAAAATTTCCGCTTTGCGTAGCTAATGGATATTTTCGTCAGCTGTCGATTAAATTTCAGAGAAACAGTTAAATTGTAACCATTTTAAAGTTTTATTTTGTAAGTGTTGTGGATATTGGAAACATAATTAGAGGTAATAAAACTTGACTATCTCAGTTCATTTTAGTGTAAAAATAAACTAAAATTATCTAAAGGTATAAGAAGTTTCCAAAGAAATCTCAAAAAGTCATTAATAAATCAGGTAAAGTTGTTATGAAGGACCTTCTAATGAATTAGTGATGATTTAACCTTTCATGACTCAAAAGTGCCATTAAGAACTTCAAGGCACAAACAAAACCAGAAGTGACTGGGAAGATCATGCTCTCTCACTTAGCCTGGAGCAATGTTTATACATCAAAGTTATTGCTCTCTTAACTTTGCGTTGTGTGGATCTTTTCTGTTGTTTCCTCCTCTCATTTTCTGAAGGAATCAGTTTCTCAAAAAGTAATGCCGCTGAATAAACTACTAAAAACTACTTAATTTTTTTTTTTTGTTCTGAAAGAAGAGGTTAATTCATACTAAGCAAAGGTTTCATACTATAAAGTTGGAAGGAACCCTTGTGATCATCTAGTCACATATGGATTTTTCATCCATATGACTGCTGTGAATGAATTTCTTTATGAACTAGAGATATCTTTTTGAATAAAACTCCAGTCAGCAGTAGTATTTATTCGAGCTTTAATTCAAGCTCTAGTAGTACAGCATGTAGCTTCTCAATCATATGTACCTGAAACATGTGCCTAAAGACTGTTGAGATTTCTCTTATTGCCTCATCCATCACAGCTGAAATTCTCTCTTAGGTCAGAATGAATTGGTATCATGAATTGGACCTGGTACAAGAAGCAAAACTGAAGGCCCTTGTGTGTGTGCATATATGTGTAAATAGATTTTTTTAAAAATTAAAAGCCAGCCTTTTCTGCCTGTCTTCTTGTATGGTTCCAATTAAATGAAGACAAAGGCAACTGCATCTTCAAATGGTGTTTCTGTATTCAAGGATGATGTCAGCAGTGGAGATCTGCAGTATCCCCCTTCTTCAGTCCTGGCAACAAGTTCAAAAAGGAAGTCAGAGAATGAGAGTGAATCAGCTGTGCATAATGTGGACAAGCAAACAGGCATCTCCCCCTCCCTGGGTAATGCTTTGGAGCACATTGTGGAGCAGCTGGATGTTTTAACTCTAGTAAGTATGCAATAACAGATAACACTTGCAGTGGAAAATGATAATGCTGTCAATGGGCAAAAAAACCCAGGAACCATGTTCATATCAGAATATTAAAGTCTGTGGGGTTATTTTGAATAGCTGTACAGTCAAGTGACTGTTTTGTTTTTTCCCTTTCAGCAAATATTGATCGCATGTATTGTGTTTGCTAAAGTGAAAGCTTCCTGCTACATAATCATAAAGATTATTGTTGTATTTTTAACTCTGGAGGAAAAGAGTCACTATTTTTCAGTAGTGAGATCTAGTGGAGATTTACCAGAAGCCAGTTGTTTAGCAGACATTGTCAGATTCCAGCTTGAACAGTCATGCATTAGCAGGGGATGAACAAAGTAAATTGGCAATGTACCGTTAAATCCCTTTTCAAACTTAGTGTTCAGTGTGTTGGCTTAGGTGGGAATCTAAGCAGTGGAATAATTCCTAGTGTCAGTGAAACTGCACAAATACTAGTCTCAGTCAGTGACTCTGAGTCACTTGTTTGCAAATGCTCAATACTTCTTTTCAGTAATCCAGATTTAGCCAATCTATCTTTTAAGATACTACTCTGTAGTCTGTAATATATTAACATTAAACCAAATCAAAAGGGAGTGGCTAAGGGTTTTTTCCTGCGTTCTTTTGCAATATATATGTTAACTCAAGAAATAAGTTTTGGGAAGTATGGAGTCAAGTCACCAGTTGAAAATTATTTGTGTAGTAAGTTGGATTAAAAAGAAACTGCCAGCCTGTGTCCAGAAACCTACCTTTTCTGATGAAGGTAATCTCTTGGAGAATGCTTTTTAACAATATATTTTTTCTTACTTCCTTTTTTTGGGGATGCCTTAGAAGTTTCTTTTAGGTTTTTGGAAGACATCATTTGGGGTCACCAGTGATGGCTGGTTTTCTATTGAGATATGGATGCAACTTTCGTATAGTATTTCAGAGTAATTTATATATGTACGTATATATTTCTCTCTGAGAAAATATTTTGTGAAAACAATTTTAAACCTTTGGACAATCTCCATAGATACAAAGCCATTATTTTTAAATAGTTGTAAATAGTGGAATAGCTAAGGAAAAGCCATCTTAGGATAATTTTTCTTGTTGAGTTAAAATGATTTTTCTTATGTTACTATGTTGCACTCTTTTATAATGCTGTGTGAGTAATATAAAAACAAATTGAAATTACTGTCCTCTTCATGCAGACTATTTCAATCCTGGAACAACGTCTGACTTTGACTGAAGATAAATTGAACGAATGCTTAGAAAATCAGCAAAAAATGTTACACCAGGGAAGACAGGAAGAATAAAAGATGCAAACGAACTGTATTGATGAATATGTTTCATATATTCACAAGGAAATAATGAATGTTACTTCCATTGGATTTTGCTATAAGCAAAAAAAAAAAAATCTTTTTCTAACAAGTCAATACAATAAAAACTGAAGGAAAAAATATAACACATTTTAAACATTAGTAGCAAGCAGATATTCTGGTTACATATTTAATAAAGTGTAGCCCAGCCAAAACTAATATTTTCTAAAATAATTCCCATTGAACATTGCAGGAGTCTTATTTCAACCTAATAAGATCTTCGAATACTACTAAGCAACAAACTACGTAGTTTTAGATGATTAGCAATTATTATGGAAATGCACTATGTAGGTTTTTTAACTCAGGTAAGGATTGTGAAAATAACGTTCTTTGTGCTAAGGCAACATTACTCAAGCACCTAAATTCCATAAGACCTAATTAGCCCTAACGCCAAAAATGCCAGAGGTTTTCTTTGTCCCTTACATACTCTCAAATATTTTACCAAAAAGTAGCAACAGTTACTCTATACCTTCTAAATGTTTTAGTGATGACTGCAAGAAGATGTAGTGGAAAAACTTTGTTACAAATATGAAAATGAAGTCGCTTAAACTTTGAAACTATAATTGCATCTGTGTGAATTCAGCTGCAAGACTGAGGCAGTCAAGCACTTCTGCTTTTCTCATCCCTATCAAAATTCATTTTTCATATTTAGAAAAATAAAAATCAGCTTCATACTTCTGAAGAATATATTTGAACCAAACACAAAATGATACAAAATCTGTATCATAAATACAAAAGATTGTCATCCTCCAAGGATTTCCACAGGTTCTCAAGTTTTGCATGCTATGAATGTCCCCCATCAGTTAATGCGTTATGAATTAAGCCATAAATCAGGAAAGACTTTGCAATGTATGATGATTTTGGGTTTATTTTTAATAAAAATGCAATTTTTAGAAAGACGATTATAGGTCTTGTTTTTTAATAGAAAACATCTATGCTTCTTTATGTCTACCTATTACACCTCATTAACATCAACAGAGTTCAGCTTAAGTACAGAAGCTCACTGTGCAAATACTATTGCGGTTCAAGCCAAAGCAATGAGCAGTCAATTTTTCTTTTATAACTTTTCATTTTCTCTCATAGTAATCAGATAGCCAGGCATCACCTCATTTGCTTGGTAAACTCTGAATTTTACTGGCAAGTACTACATATTTTCAGCTCAGTCTTAAGTAGTACTGTTTATTGCGAAGAAGCAGTCTCCTATAAAAATTTTAGATGCAACTATTTCTATGCAACATCCTAGCCACAGATTTTTTGTGAAAGGATGGTCTTACATATTCCAATATAAATAGCCTGACCTTTGATTATGCAATTGTTCATAATGCTATATAACTCATAGTTATGTAAATACTGTCTTTTAGGTCAGATGTACTTTGCTTTATGCATTTGCAAATACTCTTGTGGTCTTTGCCTTTTCTTGGCTCTATTAGAAGACGCAAAACCATGTAGCTGTTAAAATCCTTTGCTTGTTTCTTGTTTTCTCTGAGTGGACTATATATATATATATGTTTTCAATCTGTAGATTTTTTGTTGTTGTTGTTAAGCTTTTCAGGATTATCAACAAGATTTGGAAATTTCTTTTACTTCTGTATTTTTTAATAAAATCTCTGCTGAAATTTTCTTTTCTGCCTTAGCTCCTATCACTAATCCTTCTTCCTTTTCAGTACCCATTATGTGGAGCATTTACTACTTAATCCAGTTTATTCCTCTGCTGTTTGTGAATCTGGTGAACTAACGTAACATTTCCAAATTAAGATATGTTCTTGTCGTTCTATCAGGTGGTCTGTTGATATTGAAACTCAACATGCATGACACTTGGGATGTCTGTATAACCAGAGGTGGTTGTCTGAGAACAGGATGGAGGTATTTTCCTCAAGCTGTGATGGCTCTCATAAAACACAACCACAACCAGCTAACATGATGTTTCTTTTAAAGGAACATTGGTGTGGGCTAGTTATCTTATTCTCTTGATCTATATAATTTCAAATAAAGCTATGGAATAGAAAAACTTCCTTTAAAAGCACCTGAAGAGGCTGGCTAAACTCTCAGAAGCATTTACTCTAGGGTTTGTGCTCAGGCAAATAACTGGTGACTTGACTAATTTGAATTATCTAATAGAGCTAAGGAAGATGACTGCTGTTTAGCCTTAGTTGTGCTTCTGCACCATGTGAAAAAGTAATTGCACAGGCCTTTAAATGATTATGACAAGTATATCTGTCTTGCAGACTGCAGTGAAGTACTGAAAATCCATACTTGTTCTCAACAAGCTGAACCACCTACCTAATGCAGTCCAGCTTTTCTCAAGCTAAGTTATCCCTCTGATAGTAAATGTAAATAGGCCACCTTGTTGGAAAAAGACTGCTTCCAGCATCCAGGCCAGCTACTGCAAAAATGACTTAAATACTTATTAAAAAAAATAACACCAATGTCTGAATGACATGCAGTAGATCCCCAAGGTTTGTGGGGGAG